TTTGGGTTTACCGCAGAAAAACAAATCATGTTTCACACTTTGGTTTTATCGCAGAAAAACAAATCATGTCACACTTTGGGTTTACCGCAAAAAACAAATCATGTTCCACACTTTGGGGCCATAAGTGCGTTAAGAAAGTACGATAAAATTCCAGTATTCGGTCTAATAAGAGTAGCCCAAGAGTTTGAGGTGGGTGGTGTTGCCTGACTACGTTCCCTCTAGTCTATCATTTTAAAATTAGGAACGGCTAGCGCAGGTAGCCCTCGTGTAGCTTTGCGCGAAATCCAATAGAAAACAACTTCATTCTTGTAAATATTTCTATTCAAACATTTTCACTTACAGTAAATAGTTTATATTGGTTCACGCCGTTTTATATAACATTGTATTCTTTTTGTGCACATTAAGAACAATTGAAGTGTGTGATAAGTTAAAAAAAATCTAAATATTTGTGTATAAAAGTTTGTTTTATGACAATGCTGCCAAGGCTATCTGCAGCTATAGCTAATTTTGAACTGTCGGCCAAAGGGAAGGTAATCGACCGGTAACACCCGCTAGGAACCCATGAGGTACTCGTAGTACTTTTCCAACGAATAATGGGATTAACCCTCACACTATAACGCCTCTATAGCTGAAATGGCGAGCATGTTCGGCGCCGGGTTTGGATCCCGCAACCCGCAAATTACGAGTCGAGAGCCATAACCACCAAGCCATAAAAGATAGTTTTTATGAAAGAGGCCATAATAAAAGTACGTTATTATTAATGATTGTGAAAGAAAAACATTTTTTTTTTGGTATGTAGAAAGTAACAGGAAATATTTAATATTTTTTTCTGTGGAAGAGAGTAATAAAGCATTTATACGTAGTAGGAGATGAAGAAAAAATTGTTTATTTATGAACAGAAGAGTTGTATTTTATGTAGAAGTACTCGGGAGAACGTTGTACTTAAAAAAACAATACTTATCCTATTGACGATTGGGCTAGGTTTATAAAGCATTAGCTTGAAACCAAGATGTAACTGAAGGCAGTCAGAACTTTAATTTTTTCCATTTTGATAACAAATACAAGTCAAATTATGGATTTCACGAAACATCATTCAATTTTGTAGTTATTTCAGAGTAGTTGTAGGTAGATGTTATTTTTATCCATGACAGTAAGATATGTATTTATGGAAAATAAATATATTGTAATTTTATTAGTGTAGAGATCAGTAGAGCGTTGTAGTTGTATAAGTACTTGGACAAAAGTATAAAGCATTGTAGTTTTACATGTGCGAAGAAACAGAAGAGAAGAGATAGCCAGCCTTATCATACAAGAGGCCCAAGCCGCGGGGTAAGCAGCTCACACAGTCCACTAACAGTTGCAGGGAAGAAATTCGAGAAACGTTTTCAACTCAAAACATATTAAAACTGACAACAAATAATCAAGGCTTCAATAAGTTTCTTATCTTGCTTCTGCTTGAAACCAGAACTTAAAGCATTGTGATTGTAGTTGCGTGTAGAAACAAATATAAGAACATATAATTTTACTTCATGTGTACATGGGAGTCCGTAGAACTTTTTCCAGGGGGACGGGACAAAGTTAGGTGAATTTGTGAATTGAATAAAAAATTCATATACACATGCTGAATCAATAAAGAAAGATGATGACAAAACCTTGTCGAAACGTTGTACATTTGCTGTTATGTTAAACTTATATTAAAGTTTTTCTTCATTACCCATTCAAGCCGTCTCCAGCCATTATTAGTCTCAAAGTGGGTTTCTCGTCATCAAATTTCAATAAAGAATTATGTTTCTCATTTTCTCTCTTGCCCCCCCGCCCTTCGCGGACGCTCATGCTTGAATAGAATATACCAGCACTGTGTATGAAAGTGGTCATGAGAGCATCGATATTATTTTTATGTGCCTGTTTAGAGTCGGATGTGGCTTAGTGGTTAGTGTGGCGGTTCGAATCGCGATATGCTACTGAACACGCTGCGGGAGCGTTACAACCCTGAAGGTCAATCTTGTTATTCGGTTAAAATCATTCATGTAGGCGGCAAGTGCAGATGAGTAAATACCCTCCCTCCTCTGGTCAGCAGTTTGAAGTAAGCATGACTACCCTTGTACCTTGAGGTTTCTCATCTGGTCCCTTAGCCTATATGTCGCATAAAGGTGCGTTGGGGTTGAAAATGCTGTATATCTGATTGTCTGTCTACCTTTATGTAATGTATTTTATATATGCAAAAGAATGAACATTAAAACACGGGACCTATATATATGTGTGTGTGTCATTAAAATGTTACAGCCGTATATCTCTGATTTCGAGTTATTTCGAGGTACACAAATCACAGGGACATGAAGTCACAAAATACATGAGAAGTACGTTACACCAAAAAGTTAGAGTCAAACATTTATTATATTGTGTGAAATTACTTCTCAACGGAATTCCAGAAATCGACATGGCTTTTGTGATCTGTATGTTTTATGTGTCCTGTTGTTAGGATGCACGGTTACTACAACACGCTTTGCACGTTCTACTCGCTCGTAAAAGACGTCCTCATTTGAACCACTTCAGTTCCGTTTACTGTTTCCGTATAATTGTACTGATAGGGGGAGGCATTTTTGACGGAAATGCAGAGCTGTAGAAACCGGATAAACAAAAAGATAAAGAGTAGTTTATTATAATGTATATAGTTTGAAAGGGTGTGAACAAACTATCAAACTAGTTATCTGTATACTAGACGGCCTGAATAAGGTCGTGAAAAAGTCAAGTAAACTACAATATCCATTTGTACATTAGACAACTTGAATGAGGTCATGGAAGGTCAACTAAGTTAAAATATCCGTTAGTACATAAGACAGCCTGAACCAGGGGGTAAAAGGTCAGCTAAGCTAAAATACTCGTTAGGAATCACCCATAGATTCACGATCAGGACAGCAACGGAAGTAATTATTGTTAGTAAACAGTAGAGCAAGGAACTGACTTCGTAAGATTCTGAAACTTCAATATACCCCAAACCACCACACAGTTCATTTGGGTTTTCGTTGAAATCACCAGAAGGGGCAGCAACGTTACTATGCCCCTGAACTCTTCACACGTGAACCATGCTTTCACATCTCTACCAACTAACGACTAAATCGTCTCTGTAGAGCTGGAGGCGTTGAAATCACCAGAAGGGGCAGCAACGTTACTATGCCCCTGAACCATGCTTTCACATCTCTACCAACTAACGACTATTTCGTCTCTGTAGAGCTAGAAGCGTTGAAATCACCAGAAGGGGCAGCAACGTTACTATGCCCCTGAACTCTTCACACGTGAACCATGCTTTCACATCTCTACCAACTAACGACTATTTCGTCTCTGTAGAGCTAGAGGTGAACGATATGCTCAGTGCAGCATCACGTTTTAGTGCTGGTTCACTTGGGTGAGGGCATCAGTATGAATACACTTATCTATCTTATTGTACTTCCGAGCAACG